CCTGACGTTGAGACAACCTACTATCCTACCTCCCCCTTACCCCATTACATATGGGAATAAGGGTCAGCTAATTTTTACTGTATTTTAAATTTTGAACCTATCTAAAACCTAAAGCTTCAATCTTTTAGCCCCAAAAATTACACCTAAAGCTTCCCTCGGAACAACCAACATTAACACTAATCCAAAGCCTTGCAAGTTACTAAAAGCCTATTGAAAAATAAGGGTAAAGTATATAGATGGTCCCCCAACTCTCGAGTGCTATTCTGTTGAGTCTCTCAAATGTTAAAAGTTACAAAATGGTCCATTGATTATATGGTCACCCGACTATTCATATGTTTCGAACTCGTCATTTTCTGTTAAAAAAATTTACAACCGTCTAACCTGGACGTTAACATACTGATTGAGATATAATAAAATCATATTTTAATAATGTTTATTGACATTGTTGTTGCTTTTAAGCACTAGTTCGATGACATAATATAAACAGAGAACCAATCCACAAAATAAAGCTTAAACGTGATCAAATTTTATTACATCTCAACTCAGTTGACCAATTTTTTAACAGAAATGACAAGTTTGTAATATTTGAATAGTCAGCTGATCATTTTGTATTTTTAAAAGTAGGCGACTTAACAAAACATAGTTATATAGTCGGATTATTATTTTATAACTTTTAATAATCGATAAACTCAATAAAAATACCGCCCTATAATCAACGAACCATTTGTCTACTTCATCCTAATAATAATAATAATTTAATATATTGTTCTCCGTTATCAAGAGAATGCTTTGATTCCCCTCTTGCTTTCATGTCCAAATAACTTTTATCCTTGAGACCATTTTCTTTAAAAAGTAAGGCTTATAATCTTCAAAAATGAACAGAAATTGATTTCTTTTCCAAAACTATGTCTGTTATAAAGCAAAATTGCTATAATAATTGACGTCCAATTCAAATAAAAGGGAAAGAAAAAAGGAAATGAAAGTTTCTCCCTGCTTTATATCCAGATTCATATGTTGTTGGAATTTCACTCACAATTCAAAGTAAAGAAGATTGTGTCAAAGTTCGATCTGGGTTTGGAAAAGAAGATTCCGAGTTTTGAAAATCCATGAAATATGACACAGACAAGATGGAGCCGCCCCATCATGAAAGTGAAAAGAAAACATGTTATGAGAACAGTTTCTTCTTTATTTACAGAACTAAGAACATAGGGTGTGTTACGAGGAGCTTAAAAGCAACATTATTTGAAAGCATGTTCCGAGAAATTTTTCTTAATATATATAATTTATAGATATAACTATTCAAACCCGAAAAAATATATTCTAATTTGAAAGATTAAAACTTTGAAAAAAAAGGGGTAAACACCATGGATCTGAAATTTGAATGCATTAGATTCCCATCACCTACTTTATATTTCAAAACATGACAACTTGGGGGAAAAAACAAAAAGGGTAAAACTAGGGACTTCTTTAAATGGTTTTAGCGAAGCTTCAGTATTCATTACCATCTTATTACTCCATAATACACTGTAAGCACAAAGCTTCCTACTTTTTCTCTCTCACACAATAAGAAATGAAAAAAAACCCATTTCTTTGTATTGTTTGTTGTTTTACACCCATTTTGCCTCTTTGAAGCAGGCATGGTTGCAGCCTCATGGATGGAGCTTTAACCCACCGTGACCAAGTAGACTCTTCCCTGATCAAGCTTTGTTTACCTGTGCCAAAGCTAAAAGCCAGAAGCTTTTGGGTTTCAAAATCTGTTAAAAGCTTGTGCTACAAAGCTGTAGAGCCACATGGATGTTGCTTAAACGGATTAGATTCACTTGGTTTTGAAGAAAAGAAAGGTGAAATGGGGAGTTCGGTTGAGAAAAATGAAAGCTTTGGTGATAATGGGGTCCAAAAGGGTCGTGAAAGTAGTTCAAGCTCCGACCCTTTGACACCAGAAACAACAGTGCACGAGGAAGAACACAGTCACAGTAGTTCTGCGGAAGAGGATTTATATTCAACGCCTTCAATAGATTGGCATGTGCATGAAATTGCTGAAACAGAAGGCAACACTTGTAATGATTTTAGTGAAGATAGAAAGAAAACCCCCATGAATGACAGAATATTGGAGAAACAAAGTTCCACAATTTCAGGTACTTCGACCATCATTTTTCCTTTTGCTTGATTCATTTCACTGATGTGTCTGGTAATGGGGTTTGCAGAGATTGAGTTGATGAAGGAAAGATTTGCAAAATTGCTGCTTGGTGAAGATATGTCAGGTTCAGGAAATGGTGTTTGCACTGCCTTGGCTATTTCAAATGCCATCACCAATCTTTCTGGTATGTTGACAATTTCACTTGTTCTTACCTTTAATATAGTTTATATGGGTTTGATTTGTCCATGTTGGTTAATTTTTTCTGGTTTCTGTTGGTTAGTTGTTTTGACATTTGTTTTAATGGCTATTTCTCATTCACTGCCTTAACTATTCAGCCACCTTATTTGGGCAAATATGGAGGTTAGAACCAGTACCACATGAGAAGAAAGCAATGTGGCGAAGAGAGATGGAATGGTTTCTCTCCGTTAGCGATCACATTGTCGAGTTGATACCGACTTGGCACACGTTCCCGGGCGGAAGCAAGCGTGAGGTGAAGCTATGGTTTGAAAATGATGACCTAAGGGCAGTTTTGAAGGATTGTAGTTTAAAATGCCATGTCACTTGCTATGGTTTCAGGTCATGACTTGCAGGCCCCGATTGGATCTTTACGTTAACCTCCCGGCTTTGCGAAAATTAGACAAGATGCTTCTCGTAAGATTCACCGGCTTGTATTGCAATATGGAAATATGATTCTGTTGAAGAGCTTATTTTTAATGTAGCATTAGCATATGTGTTTTTTTTGCAGGAGATATTAGAAAGTTTTGTTGATGCAGAGTTCTGGTATGTTGACCAAGAGATTCTAGCTCAGCAGGCTGATGGATCAACCCCTTTCCGAAAAGCCCTTCAGCGTCAAGAGGAGAAATGGTGGCTTCCCGTGCCTCGAGTGCCACAGGGAGGCCTTGATGAAAATTCGAGGAAGGAGTTGCAGCATAAACGTGACTGTGCAAACCAGATCCTAAAAGCTGCCATGGCTATCAACAACATTACTCTAGCTGACATGGAAGTCCCCGAATCATATTTTGAATCTCTTCCTAAGGTAAAAAGATGGTAAATAAAGACTAGGAGTATAATGTACATATTCTACCAAGTTTGTTGGTTGTTAACTTTAGCTAGAATTTGTTTCAGAATGGCCGAGCGAGCTTAGGAGATCTTATTTATCGGTATATTTCATCCGATCTGTTTACGCCTGAATGTCTTCTTGATTGCCTTGATTTGTCCTCCGAGCATCAAACTATAGAAATCGCCAACCGAGTGGAGGCCTCGATATATCTGTGGCGCAGAAAAACCAATCCCAAACCTGTCAACACAGCTCGCTCTAGTTCAAAGTCGTCATGGGACATGGTCAAGGATCTGATGGTCGATGCTGAAAAGAGAGAAATACTTGCAGATCGAGCCGAGAGCCTACTTCTTTGCTTGAAGCAGCGGTTCCGGGTCTTCCCCAGACCACTTTAGATACGAGCAAGATTCAGTACAACAAGGTTTGTGTCACTGGTTCCCCTTTCAGATTTGTTTATAAGAGTGGTTTCGGTTACAAAAGTCATGCCAGTAACCAAGTATTGTGGTGTTATTTAGGATATCGGAAAATCCATTCTGGAAAGCTACTCGAGAGTATTGGAGAGCCTGGCATTTAACGTTGTGGCGCGCATTGATGATCTGCTTTATGTCCATGATTTGACCAAGCATTCGGATCAATTCTCTTCATCTGCCGGAGTCGGTGTAATTGGTCGGAAGAGTCTTTCGACTCCATACTAGGTGCCCTTCTCGAGCACTCCTTATAGAACTGCATTTACAGCACCAAACTTTTCACCAGCACATCTTGTTAGCCCTGCAAAGGGAGAAAGACAACAGCATGGGATCGGTGTGAAAAAGGTCTTGTTGACAGATTATCTTAGTATTGATTTAAGAGACAATAAGTACATTAATCCAAACGAAGAAACCAAATCAGAGGTTCAAGCATAGCTCGAGAAAAACAGGATCGTTTGAATGTCCAAGCGACACAATAAGCTCACTGAAACAGGAGCTTTTCCCGGAGAAAGAGCCCTGGGTTTGCACACCATGAACCACTTCCCCGAGACAGCAGTCTTTCACCTGGTTCCATTATTACTGTTTCTAAATATTTGCTAGAAATTGGAAGATGCTTGAGAACGACGAACAGTCGCCTTGTTATTTAAATGTATCATCCATGCATGTCTATAAACAACGAGTTGTCTGGTTCATGCTTCTCAGTACATTATTTGTTGTCCCGAAATTGTTCCTGGTTGAACATTATGCTGATTCCATGCAGAGAAAAGCCGTTAGGATATCGACAACTGATTCCGAAGATACGATTCGTTCGACAATGGTTAATGAAGTTAAAAAGAACGTTATGTAACATCAAAATCCTAATCAACTTTCACAAAATTCTGTGGCTGCAGAGTCTTTCTTTAACGACCATTTAAAGGCATTTGTGGTTTGCCCCCACCAACTGATAGACGAAGACTGCTTGAATCTGCAGGTCCCATTGTTTGATAGGGAACAACCATAACCTTAGCCTAAATATCTTTAGGTTCAGATAAGAAAATAGAAAGAACACAAATGAAAGATAAGTGTGGCAGCTGTGACCACACACAATCCATGTTTTGTTTTGTCAGTTCATGTAGGAAAGTGGTGCTTTCAGGTATCTCAAAAGGCAGTGTTCTTTTGATAATTTAAAGGCAAAATATGTCCACTCAGATTCACCTTTTATGAAAGTGTAACAATTAAGTTAAGTCCAAAGTTCCTCAATTTGGGTTTATTTTATGCTCTTTGGATTGTTAATTAAGGGACAAAAGAAGATAACACAAACATGGACATCATATGTTCAAAGCGCAAAGCTTTAAATTCATAAATCAAGGTCACTTACACAGGCTTCACTGAAATTAAACACGAAAATAAATGCAAAAATAAAAGACTTGACTCTCCTCATTCTTCACAGTGAAGAAGGGAGCTGAACTACTACACTTGCTCGGCCGGAGTAAGTAAATAACAACCGGCGGTCTGCAATGCTTGATTACTGTGGTCTACTTCCATATATGGCTAGAAACGGATTAAACTGCTGCCTGTGTCTTCCTATGTACCTGCCAAGGGTAAAGATGCAACTTTATCAGATAAAAACAACAGAAAAACGGCACGTGTCTCACCCGCATTTTCCGGGTGAGATATTTAATTGATCGACCGAACATAACGGAACATTAACGTAAATACGACAAGACCGTTATATAAGCACGTTGATCGACTGTTCAAAATACGACAAGACCGTTATATAAGCATGTTGATTATCTGTTCTAGTGAATCTGACTTAAGATACCTTGATAAGCATGTTGATTGGCATGAAAACACTCAGTAATAGAGAGATCCTGCACAGATAGGAAGAAGGAGAAAGATCAGCCTTCCAGCTAAAAAATGTTATATATGCTATAATTCCTCATAATATACACCATAATACCTAGCCACCAGTCTCCTCTGGTTGCATACTCCCTATCATCTTCTCCATCATCCTTGAACTAGAGTGTTACAAAAAACATGTTAGCAGATTTCGAATCAAAAGATTTAACATTTAAACTATTTGAAATCTGTATGCAAAAAGAATGCTCCAGATGTCCATCCTGTCTGTGGATAAGCTCATGCCTATAGGGCAATCTGATGTACTCACAAAAGAATCAATTCCAGAGCCACGGTAACCCTTAGGGATAGGGCATTCATCTGGGCCGCCGTAGAAGATCGACGAACTTAGACCACATGGGTTCACGCATTGCTGCGGATAAATCGATTCTGCTTCTTCGTCTGCTGCACTCTGGAATTCACCTTCATGTCCTTGAGAAGGATTACCTGACAAGTCAAGTCGATTAATTTCTAAAGAGCAAGCAAAAGTCATAGTTTTGCACAAAATCTCTAATGTACTTAGAACACTGGCCTTGTTTTGCTCTAATGTACAAAGCCAATAGTGTTAAACCAAATATCAGTCTTCAGCAAAATCCTGTCTTAAGTAGTATAAAATGTAGATATCCTGTAAAAGCATAAACTGAGGCACAAACCAGAGTCTTCAGGCTTTGTTTTCAGGGGCTCATTTGGGGAATCCTGCCTTTTGGTCACCAGATACTGTCCTCTATGCACCTAAACCAACAACAGGCATGGTTAATCAATCGAGACAAAAAGAAAGAGGCACAAACAGACAATTGGACTTAAAAGAGAACTTGCATGCCATGCAGATGCTAACATATGAGACGACACAAGCAAAAACAATACAAAAAAGAACCAATAGCAACAAACAAGGCCCTCAACAAAATTTCCCATTCATGAAAAGGAAAAATCTTTAAAAACAACACCTTTTGATACAGTATCAAAAAACCAGATTTGAAAGAAGAAATGTTTTGATCTTTGAAACTCCATGCGACATAAACCAAAAACCCCATTAACAAAACCATTGAATACCAAAGAAAAAAGATGCAACTTTTTAACATGATGAAAAAAAAAACCTTGCGGGGAGGAGGAAATATAGACTCTAGAATGTTTGAAGTGGACGGAGGTGACACTTTTGGGGCTAAGAGTTCAGCAAAGGGAGAAACAGAAGAAGAGGACTTGGTTCCTTTGCCTTGTTCCATGTCTCTCAGTAAAATTAGACTGCCCTTATGAAGTTACAATGAACTCTAAGTGAGATCTCTATATATAGAGAGAGATATGTGCTTGAAACAAAGCTCCCCAAGGAAAGAAATGAATAATTGAAAACAGAGACACGTGAAGATTGCGTTTTCTTAGTAGGGTTTTGTTTGTTTTGAGAGAAAATGAAACCGTCCATCCCTCTCTTTACCCATATATGGAAACCAAATAAACTGAAATAAATTTTCTGCGCTGGAATTAAAAAAGGAAATAAAAGTTTTTCCCATGTGGACCAACAATTGTTTACCTTGAAATCGTGTGTTTCCGTTTCTGTTTTCTGCATTGTGTTGACGGGCTGAACAGCTAGCTTTCTGCTAGTCATAAGTGTTTGAGTGGGCCCAGGATCCAAGTTCCAATCTTTTATTGCCACGACTCCCCCCGGACCACGATTCATGGTTAATTGAAATGATCGCAAGCCATGACGAAATAATATTGTAATACAAGACGCAACGCGTTCATGAACTCTTTAGGCTGGCATTGCGGTCTCCATCCTATCAGCACAAAGATCAGTATGGGGTCATGGATGCTAGGTAGATTCTCGGATCCACCTTTACGAGATCAACAAGGAATAAGATCAATAAAATGTTGCCTAAGATCAAGTGTAGTCGAAATATAGTATTAAATTACGATTACAATTTCTGTTTTGAATATAACGTCGTAAAGTGATTTTTTTAGTCGAAACCTGTTATATTTCTAAATTACGGGTGTAATTATGATGTCGTGATATCGTTAAAATTCGTTACAATAACAAACTCAACATAAATTCCAACGAGTTAGGAAAAATTATGAGTAAATTTCCAAACCTGCAATTTAAATTTCCGTTGACAAGAACAACTCCAAATGTGATTAAACATTGCCATGTCTGTAGGATCAATTTCTTCCCCTTTAATTAACATCCGATACCCACTTCTCACACTATAACACCATGGCTTTTCACCACAGCACACTCAACAATCCGCTTGATCGAAACTAGTTAGAAAGAATTTTTAAGATAGCTTTCGCCTCCTCCTCATTAAACACCTGATTTTAAAGATAGCTTAATTCTTGTAAATATTAGTGGTTCTATCTTAGCCATTGAAAAAATATGAATTTGTAAATATTATTTCTTTGTCCTGTAAAAATAAAGAACAAATGAGTGAATTTGTTGAAAAATCCTATGTGAGGAGCTTAGGTAGTGGATATAGACTTGGTTGAGAAGTCGAACCACTATAAATTTTTGTGCATCAATTTTCTCATCCTTAAATCTCCTTAATCCCTAAATTTTTCTGAAATCCACTTCAACCCCTCTTGGAAAATATTATTCAGTTGATCAATTTAAGCTTCATAAATTCTAACAATTGATATCATAGCTTGACTCATTAGAAGGTCTAACAACCTTGAGACGATCCTTGAAAAAGCTCTATCCATTTCCAACACAACCGAGAAGATGGCTTCCACCACCGGCTCGTTCTATATGGAAGACTCTCAACCAATCGACAAGCCTCTATACTTTAATGGAGCCAACTACCATCATTGGAAGAAATTAATGAAGTTATTCATCTAATCCAATAATCTTGATACATGAGAGATGATCGAGAACGGCTACTCTTCTCCAAAGAGGAAGACGAAGGAGTGGAGTGCCCAAGAACAGAAGAAAACTCAACAAAATGCTAAGGCCATGCACATGTTGTTTTGTGCATTTGGTCCTAAAGTCTATGAAGGAGTTTCTTCTTGTTCAAATGCCAAGGAGCTTTGGAATAAGCTCGAGGAACTTCATGGTGACAAGAAAGAAGAATCACCAAAGTTAGTGTGCTTAATGGCTCTTGAAGAGCCCGATGTATCTTCTAACTCTAGTGAATCTAATTCATATTCTTTTGATGAGTTACAAGATGCATATGATGAATTATTTTTAGAGTTTGAGATTTTAAAACTTAAAGTTGAAAACGATTTTCTTTTGAAAGCAAAATTGGACTTTGAAAAATGATTTAGAGCTTTCAAAAGTAAAAATTGAAAATTTTGAAAAACAATATTTTGATTTAAAAGTTAAGCTTGAATGTTTAACAAAAGAAAAGGAAACAATTTTAAATAATTCATCTAATTCACATTGTCATTATCATGGTCATTTGGAATATACTTGTCCTTTAAAGAAAGGAAAATATTTTAAAATTAAACAAATATGGGTTCCAAAAGGAACAAGGGGTATTGAAACTAATGTTCAAGGATCCAAAGCAATTTGGATACCAAAATCCAATTAAATGACTTCAATTGCTCTAGCCACAGTTGAAAAGGAATGAGTAACCTCTAAACTTAATGTTTTTTGTTTTGATTAATTGGTTGCCTATTTGTTGTATACATGCATGAATTTTGATTTTAAATAATTTTATGTTTTCTATCTCATGTATGTTAAAAAGAATTGTGATGAACATTTTCTAAAGTTTTAATGATTTTTCATAAATGTTTATTAATCATAATGAATTTTGGTCAAAATTGGTTTTAATGTTTTGTTTTTACAAATTTTAATTTTTGACCTTAACTTAAATGTTTATGCATGTGATTTATTGCAAATGATATCTCTCCAACAATTGATATCAATTGTTCAAATGCATAACATTTTTGGATAGTTTTATGCACATGCACTTAAATACAACAATTGGCATTGCATAAAATATATTTGACTTGGATATATTGAATTTCATGTGCTACTAACTTGTTTGTTCATCTTTGTTGAAATTCAATTTTTTAAGTGTCAAACTTTTAAAGTCAAATTTTTGTTTGGAATATTTTTGTTGAGAGAGAGCTTTGATTTTTCAAATGATTTTAATGTTAAAATTACCCCTTACTCTTCACAGCTACTTTTGAACTTTAAAATTGAATTATTTTTTATATAACAAAAAAAAGGGAGAAATATAGGTTTGAAAAATTCAAATTCTCAATGAAAAAAATGGGAGCTTTAATATTTTCCAAATATTTCTCTTTTTCATGAAATATTTTACTAAGTGAAAATTTTGTCAAAAACAATTTTTCAAATGTTTTGTTATATAAAAAAAAGAGATTGTTGAACCATGTTTTATAATATTTTGATATAACAAATTAAAGCAAAATGTTTTTGGACTTGATTGAATTTGTTCAAAGTTTTTCAAAACTAATTCAAAGTTCATTAAACTAGAATTTGAGCACAAAATGCTTTTTCTGGCTACGTAGTACCGATATTGTTCTTATAGTATCGATACTATATGAACAATACCAATATTATTCATGTTGTATCGATACCAAAGGTAAGAGAAGTATCAATACTCTCTAGGTAATACCGATACTGCCTGTTGTTTTCAAAATGCTCAAATGACATAATGCAAAATAAGTATCGATACCCAAAGGGGTACCAATACTATTTTACATAGTAGTATCGATACTATGAAGCATATTATCGATACTGGTCAAACCCAACGATCTTTAACGGCTAGTTTATTTAAATATTAAAAAGGTAATACCGATACTCATCAAAGGAGTATTGATACTCCTTGTACTGAGCAGTTTTATTTTGCAGAAAATTAATCCCCAACGGCTCCAAAACATCCCAAAAGACTAGAAACGACCACAAACTCATTTTAACATATAAAAGAAAGTTGAGGACACTTGAAGAAGGTTACCAACACCTATCCAAGCAATCAAACACAAGAGAAGAGTCTTTCACTCTTATTTTCCATTCTCTTGTAAATATTAGTTTTTAGTGAGTGAGTTTAATTCTTGTAAACACCTAATTATTTGAGGTTTTCTTATTTACACATTTATTCCTTGTAAAAGGGGAGTAGTTCTATCTTAGCCATTGAAAAGATAAGTATTTGTAAAGGTTATCTATTTCTCCTGTAAAAAGAAAGAACAAATTAGTAATTTGTTGAAAATCCCAAGTGAGGAGTTTAGGTAGTGGATGCAGACTTGGTTAAGTAGTCGAACCATTATAAATCCTTTTGCATCAATTTTCTCATCCTTAAATCTCCTTAATCCCTAATTTTTCTCAAATCCTCTTCAACCCCTCTAGGAAAATATTATTCGGTTGATCAGTTTGAACTTCATAAATCCCAACATCCTTGTTGTAATCCTCATCGGGAACAAAAGTCTCTTCAGAGGTGAGATGTTGAATTTCTAAGATATTCCACGACATATCATCGTCGATATACTTGGCTACCTCTTCATTTCTGATTGGATTGTCCATTATACGATATATATTCTTCAAAGGTTCCTTTCCAACCCACCAATCCTGCCAGAATTTTGCTTGAAGGCCCGATTGAATTTGTCATTTACATAATTTTCTTATCAATTTTCTAGTGCCTAGCAGGCCCCTCCAAGTGGAAGAGCTATTTCCTCTTGTTTCCGCCTCCAGAAACTTCTTTTTCTTAAGGTATTTCCCTACAAACACTTTGTACCATAGGCTCTCTTGTCTGGTGAGTAGTTTCCAACTATTATTTGCCATAAGAGCAATATTCATGGATCTTGTTTTGCGTAGACCTAAACCTCCTAGCTGTTTGGATCGAAAAACTTTTTCCCAGCTAACCAAATGATTGTGGGTGTACTATGTGCCTCCTCCCTACAAAAAATTACAATTTAATCTATCCAGCTTCTTACAGACAAATATTGGGATCATGGTTGTTTACATCGTATGAATTGGAATTGCAGTTGAGACAGATTGGATGAGTGTTCTTTTTCCTGCCATGGATAATCCTTTCTAGCCCGCTAGTTTTCTCATGAATTTATCAATGAGAGGAGCATAAGTACCTAAATTAACCCTTTTTATGGATTATTAGAACTCCCAAATAGGTTTTTAAATCATCCGTAAGGGGAATACCACACAAACCACCTAAGTACTGAGCCATATTCGAGTTAATATTTGGGGAGATAAAATTTTTTGACTTAAGTAAATTTACCTCAACGCCAGTTGTTCGACTGAACTCTTTTAGACAATTTTGTATGTTGTACATCTGATCCGTGTT